TTCTACCGGGCCTGCGCTTTCAGAAAATATATGGTTTGGGGGGTCTTTTACAAACGCTAGCAACGCAGCAGTTGAAAATCAAATCAATAGGAAAAAATTGCAGAAAATTCAAAAATGGCTTGGCCAGCTGATTTGAAAAATGTTCCGGAGGGCTTGGCAGCGAAAGGGTTAAACACAATGCTTAAGCATTTTAACGCCCTGTGGAACTAAACCTTCCAATTTAACTTTTACCCCAAATAAAAGCTCATGTTAGAATTGTTCATATTCTGCCTGCTACCGTATGCACAGTGTATGCTGCATTCAAGCCATGCTTCTGATGGTAACTGTCAAGGTTGCCAGTGTGTTTATGCCAGCTCTCAATCAAACTTTTTAAGCCCCTAAATGGCTGCTGTCATAGCTGGTCATGTGGGTGTAGCACCATGGCAATTGAAGATCAAAATAGAGGCTAAGACTGGTAGGAAGTTAGGAGGGTTCAGTTCCACTTTAATAAAAGTCAAAGGGACTCTATTTTCAGCTATGTGACTGTTATTTTTAATTTTCCTATTACTCAACTTGAAAAAAGGAAACTTAGTAATCTAGTTTTGTGAACAGAGCCCTTAGTAAGTGTACAATAGTAGGTTAGCAAATCCAGAAGATGATCATTTCTACTTCCGGGCTTACTGCTGTACCAAATCTGTCACTGACAGTGGTTCCAGCACCACAGCCCCCTGTATGCTGATACTCAAAGTGCACCCTGCTATGCTCTAGACCTGAACTGTTGGGCAACAGTGGCATTGAACACTCATGTATAGTTGACAAAAGCCTGATGATGGCATGACATCCAGATCTCCCTCAATAGTAAGGTTGATAAGATACATATGCATGTGTAGTGGTTTACATCTTTCACAAAGATAAATAATGTGATACTAACATTATACATTCAGGTACAATATGGTCACAGCAAGTCCTAAACCTGATATTTCATGAGGGACATAGGAAGGGATTAGAAGATATTAACAACATGGCCAGAGCTCCATGGATTGAATATAACCTATACAACATAAACTTTGACAGCCGACAATCTCCTCGCCTGTTCACATCACACCTGCCTTACTATCTTATGCCAAAGGATCTCAGGTTCAAGAGAGGAAAAGTAAGTGACTTTGATTGTATCTTAATGTTCTAATTTTATACAGAATATACTATCTTAATATACTGATGAAAATAAAATCTAAATGATTTCAATAGGTTACACGACCACTGCATTGTACTTGCAATGCCTTATAAAATACGTCTAGGTAACCTGTTTGTTGAACTACCCTTCTGTCATTGTTCTTACTACACTAATGTGTTGAAAGTTGATTACTTTACATGTTTACTCTTTGCATGGTTATCCAATAAAGCATTTATTTTTAAACAAATTATTTTGGCTTTAATAATGTACTGTGCAAAGAGCTAAAAGGAAACTGCTGTACAAATTTTCCTGACAAAGTGGTTCGAGAATGGGAGGAGACAAGATGCCAAGGTGGCACTGTGAAAAGCAAGTATGGGGACAGGAATATGATTCCTAAGCTGTAGTGTGGGAGCAGGGTGATGAACTGTGGAGCTCTATATCTGGCAACTGGTGTGACCGCTACAACCGCTGTTCCTGTAGTACTGCTGTTATTTAATTAGAAAGCCTTTTACATTTTTTTTTAAACTTTTTTTTTGTTTTTAACTCTATCACCAACCTGTTCATAACTGATTAGTGCCATGTTTGTGATGTGTAATGAGATGATTCTGAATTGCTCAGAGCATATGATTTATCATTGCTGTAGGCCTTTAACTGCACAGAAATATGTAAGTAAATGGGAGGGAAAGTTCAGAAAAATGCATTTTAAAGCTTATATCTGAGAATCACTTGAGCAGGCTGACTTGGGGATAAAGTCACTAGAGCTACTGCTTTTTTTTCACACAGAAAAGTAATGCCTAATTACCACATAGTTCTTGGTTTGAGTTTTGTTTTTTTTCATCTATTAGAACTGAGGCCCCATCTCACATTTTCATCTTAGATCCCAAAAATTCCAATACCATCAGATAAGGGCTTGGGTATCATTGCCTATCTATCTATCTATCGATCGATCTGTCTATCTATCTATCTATCTATCTATCTATCATATGGATCTGTAAATACATGTTTTTTATTTTCATTTTCTTAACCCTACAGATTATCTACGTGTGCAGAAACCCGAAAGATGCCATGGTGTCATTTTATCACTTCTATAAATTATTTTCCAGATTACATGTCACATTAGATTTGGAAACCTTCTTGGACCTATTTCTATCTGGCAGAGGTAGTTTAGTAATAAATATTGTATTTATTGAATTGATTACAAATTGCTAACATCGTTTCACTCACATTGTAAAATTCCAAATTCCATTTAAACTTTTTTAATTTATTGAGTTTTGGACAATCTCTGTCAGGTTTCAGGATTCTCTGTGCCCCCAGTAGTGAGATTTACTCTCGGTTTCTGTCCCTAGAGATGCAACAGGAAATAACTGCAAGTAAGTGGAGATATTTACAAAAGGAGGGAAACAGAAGATGTGTTATCATTGCAAGATATTGCCTCTACTCCTGTTCCAGTGGCAACTATACATGTGCACTGGCAAAAAAATTGTTTCGTTTCGTTTTGATTCGGATTTTGTGTTATTTCGTTTTTCGGGATTCGGGTGTGAAAGTCAATTCGGATTCGGACGAAATTCGTTAGCGGTAGTGCGTTCGAACGTTCGTTTCGTTTTCATTTCTTTTTCGTTTCGTTCGTTCGTTGCAGCAGAGTGACATTTGAGGGGGGGGGAAATGTTTTTCTCCTTCTCTAATGTCACTGTGCTGCAACGAACGAACGAATGAACAAAACGAATAAGAAACGAAAACTAAACGAACGTTGGAACTAACTACCGCTAATGAATTTCAGAAACGGAAATTCGGATTCGTTTGCATTGCTCATATCTGTAATTCGGAATTCGGATACATCCGAATGTCCGAATTTCCGAAAATTCGTCCGAACTTTGTTTTGGAACTAAACGAATCGCACATGTCTAGTTGCAACCATAAAATGTTGGCTTCCCCAATGCAGTCTCTCCTGGTACCAATGGTCCCCAGGATAAATAGTGAGGTTAGATCCTTTAATGTGGACACATAGAGCTATAAAAACCTGACAGAGGTTCTAACCCATCCCTATTCTCTCCAAAACAAAAACGTTTTGGCTTGAGTTAAACTTTAAATGATTTTACATCATTTAAATTATAAACATGTACATCTCACCATGTTTTAATATTGTTTCTTATACTTAATAATCATACCTTGGAGACATCCCTTTGTTTTTCAGTGATATGTGGGTCGTGGTTCGATCATTTTAGAGGCTGGTACACCCACAAAGAGGACTACAATATTCTATTTCTGACTTATGAAGAGATGAAAAAAGCAAGTACTACTTTATTTGTGCTATTCGATATCTGGTATATTTGTGTTTACACAGATTTTAAAAACAAATCCTGCCGCTATTAACCAATGTATAACATGTTTTTTTTCCTTGACCGGTTTGCTTTAGGATCTTAGATCAGCTGTGATGAAAATATGCAACTTTGTGGATATCAAACTTGATGACCAAGCAGTAGATACAATTGTGGAGAAATCATCATTTAGCACCATGAGGCAAGATCCACTGGCTAATTATGAATTTATTCCAAAGGATCTTTTGGACTTTAAAAAAGGAGATTTTCTTCGCAAAGGTAAAGTTCTGTTCAGTTAAGTCAAGTCAGTTAACAAATCTGTTTTTTAAAAGGGGTTTACTGGGACGGGGCCTGAAACTTCAGACATGTGCAGGAGAAATCTGGTATTGTAAGTCAACTGTTCAGATACAATGACATTCAAGCTGATTTAATCTATGGGGTTGATTTTCTAAAGACAAATATACTGTCCACTATGAAAGGTAATTTACAGTTTGCAGGAAAAGTATAGTGAATGAGCAGAAGCTCTGCTGTCTTTCATCATCCGATCATGTGCAAGCGAAAATACTGTTTTTTTGTTCATTTCCATTGCATGTGATTGGGTATTCTTTGCAAAGTGAAATTTCGACACATTGATTTCCCCGGCAAAGTGTAAATTCCCCGGCAGTGAACTGCCTATTTGCCTTTACTAAATCAACCCATATGTGTCAGTGCAAAAAGAGATTGCCATTTAAAAGCATGAAACATGATCTGCTTGCTAACTATACATTTATTCCAAAGACATTTCTTCACAGAGGTAAATGTGTGGGTAGTTACTAGTAGTCCTCCACATAAACAATTTCCACATGACATTTGTCATGCGGATGCACATTCTAAAGACACTCCTTATGAATTTACCCTACTGTATACAAAATATGAAGTTTTACTGGGAGTTTAACTTTTGCGGCTTTTATGACCTGTAAGGCCCCATTCACATGTAGCGACATACCTTTGCAGCGGCCGGGATAGCGCAACTTTCGGGGCGACGTTCCAGGACAATCCAGCCACGGTCGCGCGACCTTCTCCGTCGGGCTCCATAGAAAAAAAAGCAAAATCGCGCAAAATCCGCCGAAAAAAGGGTCCGGTAGAAGCGACTTGCGACCGCGACGCGCGACATGAAGCTAAGACAGCTCCATTGACTATCATTAGCCGGCGACTTCTCGCGATATCGTGCGGAAAAAATGCGCGATATCGCGGCGGAAATCGCGCGATATGTCGCTACATGTGAACGGGACTTAAAACTCAGTCTATAACAGCCTTTTGAACCAGAGACTTTTCAACTGCCATTTAAGGAGCAGAATTTTATTTCTTGGTAAAACTGGAGCAGCTGTGCATGCCAACTGATCAGCGTCTCTCTCCAGTTTGTTCAGTTAAGATTTGAAAATGAAACAGAGATTCTGATTGGTTGCCATGCACAGCTGCTCCAGTTTTTGTCTGCTCCAGTTTTGATAAATTCCTCTCGCTGTGTTTATATGGCTTAGTAGAGGTGTCTGCCCATGGTTCATTCTCCCCTTTACATTTGCATGGGCATGTAGGCTTAAATGAGCTGTGCAAAATCTCAAGGCACCCCAGTCTAAAATGTAATGGATTTTAAGGGAGGACACCACATGCAAAAACACCTAAAAGTGGGGTTTCCCCCTTCACATCGAAGTTCCTACCTCACATCAGGAGCCCTCTTCACATTAGAAGTGGCCCCCTTCCATTAGAGTCTCCCTTACATCAGAATTCCCTCTTCACGTCAGAGTACTAAACCCCCCCCCCC